TGGGGATTGAGGACATCCTCTGCACTGAGCCACATCCACACTCCTTTTTCAATTTTGAGATAGGTTCTTGTTAAATTACTAAATTCCCTAGGTTGGGCTTGAACTTGCCACCTTTCTGCTTCAGCCTCCCAGAGCACTGGGATTATAGGCAGGTTCCACCACACCTGACATCAATACACTTAATTTTAGCATAAATATATCATGTTATTTTTTCAAAAAGGTTATAGGGGTAGGCATTTTCTCTGGCCTCTTCCTTTTATGAGACTATCTATGTCCTTCTGTGAATGAGCTTTTCTGGTTTTGGAATTTGGAGGATTTTTGAGGGGAGGGGTTGGGTGGGTAAAGCTAGGGATTAACCCTAAGGCCTCAGGAATGCTAGGCAATGGCTCTACTACTGAGCTAAATTGCTGGCCTATTAAAAATAGTTTAATCTACATGCTTTATACTTTTATTGTAGAGTTTTCACTGGGGTTTGTTTAGCATGTGCTTCTGTATGAAGCCCAGCATCCACGTTCCTTTTCCACAGGAAACAGTGCTTATCTGTCATGTGGGAAATCGTGGATGAGAACTCATACTAGATGCCCATCCAGTCATGTGGGAGCCTATCACACCTTGGGCCCCTCATATGATAAGGCACCTCCTAGTGGTTCCAGGAGAAAGGAAGACAGAAGGTTAAATTATGGGCTTGTAACTTGCGGGAGCCCAGAAAATGACTTTACAACCTTATCTTTGTCTTCTTACTGCTGGCCCCCTGTTCACATATACACAAATTCCTGTATACACACACATCTGTACCTGTGCAGATGTGAGCATTAACTATTAAATAGCTGCTCTTTATGGAGTACTCAGAATGTGTCAAACACTGTGCTAAGTACTTTCTGCACAGTATTTCATGTGTCCCTCCCAACAATCCCATCTGGTATGTGTTACTATAATTGTATATTTATATAATATATGATATAATTAAATAATTATATGCATTATAATTATTTTACAGATGAGGAAAGTGAAGTCCAGAACCCTGATGTTACTTACTCAGGTCACAGCAGCTAAGGCACTGACTAGGGTGCAGACTCACCGTAAAGACCTTCTCAGGCTGGCCCCGTGCACGCATGTTGGTGTCATGAATTAACTTCAGGATCATCCAAGCTTCATCGTGTTTTCCAACCTAAGAAATGTTGGACAGTGAGGCGATAGTAGACCAGTTACATTCCCTCATTCCCCAGTACCACCCCAGCACGTGTGGAGTGTGATTGTGCAACGGGTTTAGGTATTTCCCATTGAAACACATGGCCACTGGGTATCACTGACTACATGAGTAGACAAGTAATCTGTCTCTAATGACTAGCAATACTCATGGAGGTAAAACTCTCATTTATGAAACAATAAGCCAGTTCTCTTCTTTGATCAGAAAGTTATTTGCTTAAGGAGGAACACGAGTGTTTCTGGCCACCAGGCAAATTGAAGCACATCAACATGGAGCCATCCCTTCCACAGTTCCACAGTGGGAAGGAGATACCCACCTCCCAAGAGGAAGCCTATCTCCCAGGATCGGTGAGCAACCCTTTCCAACACTCACGGCCCCTTGAGGGTCTGTTTTAACAAGCATTACCTCTAGCAAGAACCGTGGGCTCTCGGGCATGAAAGTGAGGGCCACCACTGAGGAGACACAAGGCAGCGCACAGACGATGACGAAGACACGCCAGCTGTGGAACTGGTAGGCCGAGCCCATGCTGAAGCTCCACCCTGGGGAAAGAGGACAGGGCAAGTGAGGCAGGTGTCTCCCAGATGGCCTGTTGGGCAAGTCACCCACTTGTGTCTTCTCCTGGGTCTTTTTAGTCAAGTCTAACTAACTTAAGCTAACCTGGGGACCAGCCAAGTGGAAATGCCAAGAAGAAGGTACTTGGGAACAAAGGGTCAAGGCCTATGTCAGTGTGCACATGGGCTCATGTATAACCAAATCCCAAAATTAACTTGGAAGTGTGCATTCTGTGTGGATGTCCACTGTGCTGTCTGGTCACACACATCATACTGTAGATCAAGAGAATTTTTAACTTGCACATAGAAAACTTCAATATCTCAACATTATAAAAATGGGAAATTTTATATATAATAGAATAAAAGCAATCACAGTAGGATACAATTAGAAATCCCTTGAAAAATGAAAAGGTAGCCTATATTTGAATGAATATAAAATGTTTGAAAGCAAAATTCCAATGTGGTTCCATGAGAAGTAATGATGCATATCCAGACTAATTAAAAACAGAGGCGGTATCTAGAGGCATAGATGTGTTATAGGAAGTAAAATTTTATTTGCTAGCAAAGCATGACAATATTCAGGGCTTTCTGTGCATGAAAGTCAGGTAGTCTCCCTACACCACGAATCCAGGAGAGCCGTAAGATGGCCCGTCACTCCCTCAGGACCCAGGGGAGAGTCTGGAGGTGGCGTAAGTTCCTCAAGGCCAAGAGCAGAATTCCCCCTCCCCAAGATCCTCTTTGGCTTGGTGTGCAGGTGCGCATACAGCCACCTGGGTGCATGCACACCTGCATGGCGGTGGCCTCCCTCTATGTAAAGGCTGCACTGTCTACCCATTTCTCTCTCCATCTGTTTGCAATAAGCTTTTCTTCCAGTCTCCAAAACTATCTCATAGTTTTTGTCCCTCACCAAATCTCCAACAGCCGACTCCACCCTTTACGCCTGACCTCACTTGCTGTTTCTTACGTACAGAAAGAGCCGCCTGTGTCTGACCCGCTCATTCTGAGAGGACTGCTCTCCTCCTGCCTTCCCCTGGGGCGCGGCGGGTGACGACCATGGCCCAGCCTGAGGCTGCTGTGTCCACACTGCTCGTTCAGGGATGGAGCTCCTGTGGTCCGTCCCCTGTCCTCTCCAGCCACATCGCCCTGTTCGCTCTCGTCACCTGAGGGGTGGTTCCATCCATACCCGTGGCCAGCACGTGATAAACAGTACTCATGCACCCCGTGCCCTGTGCTTCTCTAGCTACGCTGCTCTTCCTTGGCTCCCTTTTAGAGGGGACTTTGCAAAAGTCCACTCTCTCACCCAGGATTCACACCCCAGTCTGGCTTCTGTCCTAGACTTCCACAGAAATGGGGCTGGCCAAGGTAGCCGGTCTTGGCCAACTTTACTTATTTATTTAGTTGGTTTTTTGAGGTAGGGTTTCTTTGAGTACTTCAGGCTGGCCTTGAATTAAATATCTTCATCTGTGCCATCACCTCCTTTCCTCATCCTCTCCCCAGTTTCACTGGGGGGCGGTTAATGTGTTAATATCTTGAGTTAAATTGGTAACATACAAAGGCAGTAGAATTTGTTTATTTTTAGCTGCATGGGTCTGCATGTCTGATGCATGTGTGGCCCAGCCCCACCTGAGGCCTGGCTCGTGCCCCTGTGCAGCCCCACCGCCTCCCAGCAGCTCGGTATTGCTCCCTGGGCCTCAGCCCCTGCTCACTCCGAGCTCCTGGGAACACTGATTTCTTGTCTGTGCCTCTAGTTGTTTTCTCTTCCAGGATGTCATAGAAATGGAATCAGCCTGTATGTATCTTTCTGACACCGATTCTCACACTTAGTGTATATGAGAGCCATGCACACTGTTGCACACATTGGTGGTCTTCTTCTTTGAAATGCCCGTGGTATCTCATCCATGACCGCACCACTGTCTCCTCACTAGCTGAAGGAGAGCTGGATTGCCTCCAGTTTGAGGTTATTATGAATAATTCCACTTCACCTGGATTTTTTTACAGGTGTTATATATTTTTATTTTATTTGTACATTTTGGATATACATAATGATCACATTCATCATGAGGAGTTTGTACCTATGGATGATATATTTTGCTTATTCTTTTTTCTCATTCCCCTCCACTCCCTTCAACACCTCTTCCCCTTCCTATTTACAAAAGTTTTGTTTCCATTTTCCCTTCTATTCTTTTCTTCCTTGTCCCTTCCTTCCCCTCCCCCTCCCTCCTCCCTTGTTCCCCTTCTCATTTGAACATTTTCTCCCCATTTCCCAGTATCTATTATATACCTTGGTCCTTATAGCTACTTTCAATTTCTCACAGCAGAAAAGCAATGAGGTACTTAAGCAAGTGTGTCCAATTTATTTCACTTAAGAGTATGGTCTCAAGGTGCATCCATTAGCTAGAAATGTCTCAAGTTTATCCTTCTTTATGGCAGAGTAGCACTCCATTGTATAAAAAAACTCCACATCTTCTTTATCCATTCATCGTTTGATGGGCATTTGGGCTGTTTCCAAAATTTAGCTTTTTTTTTTTTGGTACCTGGGATCAAACTCGGGACCTTGCGCTTATGAGGCAGGCAGTGGAACTACTGAGCTAAATCCCCGGCCCCTCAAAATTTAGCTATTATAAACTATGCCACTATAATATGGGTATGTATATATTGCATTAGGAATATATGTATACATAACATATATACATCCACATATAACACATATAGCATGTATATATAATATATATAATGTATGTATATATAACATGGGTATATATATATATATATATTGCTGTTTACCTGTGTTTTTGTGTGCATCTAAGTTTTCCTTTTCTCTGTAAATATGTAGAAGTGGTGTAGTTCAATCATATGATAAGTTTCTTTTAAGCTTTATAAGAAACTGCCAGACTGAAGGGTGGAGGGGGTGAAGGGAGGTCAGGGAAATGGGAAAAATATAAGAATCAAGATACGTCATGTAAAGGTACAAATTCCCAATGATGAATGTAACTGTTCTGTATACCTAAAGAGTACCAATAAATTTAATTAAAAAAAAGAGAAGAAACTGCCAGACTGTTCCCACAATGACTGTAACCGCTTTGCGTTCCCATCAGTCATGCATGAAAATTCTAGCAGCTTTACATCCCTCCCACCATTTTTGCCAGTTTTTTTTAAAACCATTAACTGGATGTGATGATGCACCCCTGTGATCCCAGCATTCTGGAAGGCCAAGGCAGGGGGAACACAAGTTTGAACACAACCTGGGAAATTTAGTGATTTAGCAAAAAAGGCCCTGGGTTTCATCCCTAGTAACATACACACATATGCACATAACTTAGATTTTCTAATAGGTATCTAGTGGAATCTCAACATGATTTTTATTGTGAATTTTCCTAATGCTTTATAATATTTTCATTAACTTCTTGTACATTCTTTCTTGCTGTATAGTCCCAGATAGCTTTGAACTCACAATGTAGCCCAGGCTAGCCTTGAACTGGCAATCCTCCTGCCTCAGCCTCTCAAGTGCTGGGATCACAAGTGTGCACCACCATGCCCAGCACTTTTGTACTTTTATTGAGCACCTATATGCACCAATCATAATGCCATGACAAAGAGGCTGATAAGGCAGATTCTCTGCCCTGAAGAGATCAGAGTCCAGTGGATAAGGCAGACTCATTAGCAGATGAGATAATCAACACAACCCATGCTAGGCCAGGTTACACCAAAGTGCAGGGAAGCAGTGGTGCTGTCTGTCCATCCCAGTGAGTTCAGGGCCAATTTCTTTTCTGACTTAGGCCTATGAACAAAGATTGAAATTCTAAAATATCTAATGTGAAAGTGAGAATTAAAATGAGTGTTTTGGAAGAAGCGGAGGTAAGCTAGGAGTGAATGGCCCTTTCCTGCCAGCCCATAACTGCCTGGCTTGGAGAGGTGGAGTGGTGGCCAGGTACGCTGGAGTCCAGGAAAGGGGAAAGGACATTCGTCCCCTCTGATGACATGGCCCTGGGTCAAAGACTGCAGGCACTCTGGGAGACCTGGGAAATGACCCTGTGGATGTTTTGCAAAACTAAAATACTATCCTCTGCTTTAGTGGTGAATAAAAGCTTGCAGGGGTAAAGCACTGACCACCATCCCCAAAGACATGAATCCTTGGGACCTGTGGGAGCCCCATTTCTAGGCAGCTTCAATCTGTATTTTCAAGCTCCATGAGGAAGGCTATATGACAAACTTCAAAAAGAGGGTGAAGGGAGGGCAGGGAAAAGGGGAAAAAATGAGAACCAAGGCATGTCATGTAGAGGTACAAATTCCCAACAATGAATGTAACTGTACTGTATCCCTAAAATGTACCAATAAACTCAATTAAACTGAAAAAAAAAAAAAAAAAGAGGAGGGTAAGACAGAAACCAAGCCACGGACACCTGGAAAAGTGTGTGTTGCTTTCGAATTCTTGTATGCATGTAGTAAAATGAGTTCTCTTTGATGAACCCTTTCCATTGGCACCATGCCTTTGATTCTTGCAAAGTCAGTGTTTCTAAGTGTCCTTTGGACTTTGTTAAAATATTCATTAAAATGTCATCCTGTGGGATTTATGTTCAGATGATGTAAATTCCACGCGAGGAAGGCCCTCCACCAGGGTACCACAGACCTGTGACTGTACACTCTAATCAGCACGGTGGTAATGAGGGAGCTATGTGTCCTGCATAATAATCATAGCCCTTTGTCAGCCTCGAGCCATGAACTCTGCAACTGCAGAAACCAGTTGCTAGCTTTCCAAGGTGCTAAAGTAAAAGTGTGGGACCCACACACAGTACTGGATTTTGCATCTTTTCTGTGCTTTGCCTGGAAGCCCTTGGGGCTTGGAACCTACCTGACTCACTGAGATTGTCAATGAAACAGTCCTTGGCAAGAAAGCAGATTTTAGGTTCAATACACAAAGTTCAATGTTCTAAAAGAAAAGTTTAACACTAATAAAAAAGGGGAAAAAATAAAGGGAAACTTTAAATACT